GAAAAGAAAGTGTTGGGGCTGTGATGGGAACAGGCCTTGGAGTTTATCGAACAGTCACACCAAGTTTCTCCAGCACACGAACACCCTTTTCTTGGTATTCTTGTCGGGTCATCCAAAAGTTGTCTTTGTCCTTCATGATATCTGCTAGAACTGCACCACCCAGGAATACCATATGCTTTCTGCGAGGTGGGTCTTCAATGCGGATCTTAAATTTCTAAAGGAGAAAGAGGGAATAATGACATGTCACACATGCACAGTAGGTTCTGCTTTATGAAAATGACTGTGTCATATATTCTCTTGTTGAATCCTCACTATAGTCCCGTGAGGTAAGCAGGATGGCAGGATTAGGAATCTGAGGCTCAGAGAGAGTAAGTCAGTTGCCCAAAGCTCCCTGCTAGGGTCTCCTACGTCCATTCCTGCATGCCTGGGACAGTCCTGATTTACACTTGTTGTCCCATCTAGGGTCTCCTACGTCCATTCCTGCATGCCTGGGACAGTCCTGATTTACACCTGCTGTCCCATCTAGGGCCTCCTACGTCCATTCCTGCATGCCTGGGACAGTCCTGATTTACACCTGCTGTCCCATCTAGGGCCTCCTACGTCCATTCCAGTGTGCCTGGGACAGCCTGATTTACACCTGTTGTCCCATCTGGGGTCTCCTACATCCATTCCTGTGTGCCTGGGACAGTCCTGATTTACACCTGTTGCCCCATCATCAACAGCACCCTTTCACTTTCAAGAGTGTCCCGATTTGAATGACAAATTACATGATCACTCTACAGCCATCCAGCCCCTGGACCAGAGTCCTGATTAGAGCAGGTTTTACCACAGGGTTGTGGGGAGGGTTTGACCACACAGGCAAGTCACTTAACTGTCAATTGAAGAGTTTTGATGAAAGGACTTGAAAGATTTCTTTGCAGTTTAATGCTTCTATAATTCTAATCTAGTGCAATGCAAGAAAACTGAAGTTCTTTTCCTATAAGCAAAGCTCACTTTCTGACTCAAATTCAAGTGAAATATTCTCAAAATAAGTAGACCAAATATGGTCAAAACAAATCATGGGGCTGTTGGAGAAAATGAGCACAGTAACCCAAATTAAAAACAACTGGACAAAGTTTGGCACATGGCAGCCAGCACATTAACTGTCTAGAACAAAGGATGGTCCCTAAACTGTACGACAGTCGACACCGGAAAGATACGCCTTAAAATGACATGACAGTTTTTAGTCACAGTGTCACAAATTCTGCAAAAAAGACTCAAAATAATTATGTCACTCTAAATTATTAGTCTTTGTGTCACATAAATGCACTACAGGAATCTGATGATATGTGACACAGAAAAACATAAATTTACTTAATTCTGAGGCTAACCTACTGTAACTGTTTTAGTTACTTCTTTGCTCTAAGGTGGGGGTTGGCAAACTTTTTCTATAGACAGTAAACAGCTGAGGTTGTGGTGGTCTCTCTGGCAACTATCCAACTCTTCCTGTAGCAGGAAGTCAGCCACAGACAATATGTAACAATACGTATATGAATGCACCTGGCTGCGTTCCAATAAAACTTTATTTAAAAACAGCTAGACTTGGCCTAATGGCTGCAGCTGGCCTACCCCTGCTCTAAGGGAAACTTCGCTAGCCCCTGAGGATTCTACTTTCCCAGAAGCTTTCTCAGTTGGTTGCTCTTTTTCTCACTACCTTTCCACCCTCTGGAGATCTGGTAACAGTTCTTGCTCTTCATTGCTGCTTCTACCTCCCTCCTCCCTAAAACTCCTCAGCACCTCTGAAATTCACTCTATCAGACTACTCCATCTACCACTCCCCCTTGCTGAAATCATCTATAGATTCCACAGATACCTATAGATCCCTAGGTTATTTCTTCTTAAATCTGCTCCTGTTGTACATTCTCTCTCCACCACTTCCTGTCATTATCCTTAATGACTCTGTCCTTCTCTCCCTTTATCATACTTACACCAAAACATCAACTCTGGTTTTCAACTCTCTCCTTTGCACCTGCCCTTCAGCAGCTGAACAAGACAGGAGAGAAACTCACTTTCTTGCTTTAAATGCATGACTAACCTCAACTGAGGCCTCAGTGCTGCTCAGCAATCCCAGTACTATTCTCTCTTACATTCTCCAAGACAAC